AATTTGGGTCAGTATCGGACCGATACCGATACCTAATATCGGATCGGTCCATCTCTAGTTCAGAGTATTCAAAAAATATGCAAAACATATTTTCTGTATTTTTATTTGCTTCAGGAAAACATTACATTCACCAATACAGTATTTTGATACGTCAAACCCACAACTTCCCTGAATGACAGATGAAAAAAAACAATGACAGTTTTCTTTCAGGCACTTCAAAGTTGTTTAATTCTTCCCTACTGATACAAAATAGAATCAGAAAACAGTGCAGCAGGGAAACAACATCATTCCTCAGCCTCAGAAAAGAAATTTGAGGATGGCTGAAGATACCAGCAAAACGATGGCACTGGGACCAGTTGGAATAGCGCTGTTACACAGGTCCCCTTCACAGCAAGACATAGGCTTAACACATAATCCACTGGTTTGGCAGCCCTTTGTAACTACAGTAAGAGCTGTAAGACATGAGGGGAAAATTCTCAGACAGAAACTTTACAAAGCATGATGTGACCAAGAGCCAGGGGACATTCAGCATTTAGTTTTAGATAGAGCTTGTGATATGTGATAACATCTCACCTGCTACTTTGACAGAGTAACAACGGTCGAAGGGCAAAGCACAAGCTTTGGTGTCTGTGCAGGATTTAGGATCGGCAGCTGTGCATGTGTAGCATCTTAATCCACATACTATAGAAATAAAAACACAATTTCACACACATTAGAAATTATTGAGAGTTTTTATGCCCTTTGAGAGAGTTGCCAGAAATTGGGTCATATATAAGAAGTGAAATCTTAAGAAGTCTTCTCAGTCTGTAAAATATTCCTCTACTGACCACAAAATAAGTAAATATGTTTGTAGTTATAAGCCTGTTTTCTCTGCCCCAATATTTACCAAGAAATGACTCCTTTAAAGTCTGCTGTATTCTACATATCTTTAAAACCACAAACAGCTGTTTTTTTACTTTAAGTTTCAATTATTAAACAAAAAATATATATGGTGTTCATTTCAGTTTCCTTACCAGCTGGTTATAAAACTCATAATTGAACTGTTAAACAATTTCTTTAACTTTTTACCTTTAAACATCAGTACACATCTAATCCTATTGTATATTTTATTCTGTTTATTCTACTGTATATAGTATTTTATTTTATTCTATTCTGTACAGTTGTGTACAGAATTTTATTCTTATTGTATTCTAATTTTTGCTATATAACGTTTGCCCTGTCCACTTCCTGCTGTGACAAAACAAATTTCACACGTGTGGGACTAATAAAACTTATCTTATCTTATCTTATCTTATTTTGTCTTACCTGCAGACAGAGTCACACTCAGGATCAGAGCTGCATAAAGCTGCATCATGAACTCAAATTGCTGATCAGTCTCGTGAGAGAAAAAGCTGCTGCTAATCTTTTCTTTCTCAGCTCAACTTTTCATGTTTGCTTTCAGAACCTGAGCTTTTGTACCTCTTCAAAGAGCCTCCTACCAAGTGATCCATATAACCACGCCCCCTGAAGTGACAACACTGTCAGTCACTGTGAGTCATAGCCAAAGGACAGGAAAGCTTCCTTATATAATTTAATAACAATAAATAATAACTTATATCTAGATACCCCTTTTGAAAGAACTCAATATTGTTTTACATTTAAAAACTGATTCATGGAAACTTTAAAACTGCACAGTAGCATAAGTGTGAAGTTTATGCATTCTCCAAAAGAACAGATTCTTGATTCCTATACTTCCGAGTGCTGAGCCTTTCTTTCTTAGCTCAACTTCCTAATCTGCTTTCAGAACCTGAGCATTTGCATCGCTTCAAAAAGCCTCCTAGCAAGAGCCCAAATAACCACACCCTGTTAAATGTCAGCACTGTCAGACTATCCATTTATGGAAGGGAAGACAAGAACTAAGGTTATGCATCAGATTCTTGCCAAATAAACTATATCATATTAAACAAAAAAAAATGTGTAAAAAAATTGATAACAGAGCTTTAGGTGAAAAGTTACATTGTATTTATAATAAGACTTACATTTTTATCATGTTTCTTTCTGAAAGTCTGTTTGATTGGAGTATAACATTGCCTCAAGTACAATTTTATCAGATTTTTTTTTATCGTGCTTTATGTTTCACAAGGTCATTAAGTATGTTCAATAGGGAAGATCTGTAATGACACATATGTGCTTCCTGGGTGTTGGATGGCTAATCTATGTTTTACATTACTTCCCCTTTCCCATGCTGTCAAGCTCATTGCTGACATCGCTGGTCTAGTCATCTTTCTTCCTTCTTCTGGCCAATTAGCCTTCACTCTGGGTATTTTAAATCTCACTGCTTCTTCCTTGCACACACCTTTGTACAACTACCTCCTCCCCATCTCCATCATCAACGTCTAGACAACATTCAGGCCTAATTCCTGTCACCCTCGAATTCCATTCTGCCATTCCATAAGAGTCTAATTGCTATCCATTCTCTTCCACTTATCCTTTTCAGGGTCACAGGGGGTGCTGGTGTACACCCTGGACAAGTCACCAGTCTGTCGCAGGGCTAACACACAGAGACAAACATTTGCACTCACACCTATGGGCAATTTAGACTAATCAATTAATCTATCACAACTAACTGCATGTCTTTGGACTATGGGAGGAAGCAGGAGTACCCGGGGAGGACATGAAAAC